TTCGAGGCTGCTCAGTGCCCCACGTTGACGTGAACATGGGAGCGTAACAGATGCACTCTTCAGTGCTAGAAACTGAAGCCTGGCACGTGCACGGCACAGGTGGCCTTTTCCAGATGTCACATTCTGAAGGTTCGGCAGCCTCAGTGATCCCTGCTGGGAGCCATAAACTTTGGTAGATTAACTCCTTCCCTTTCCAGCATTCTACTATGATACCTGTGTTCAAAATGCAACTAAAACTAGTAAATGGATCTGTGTATGACTGAATCTTAGTGTGGCCCAGAAGGAAAAAAAAAAAGTCTTAGTGCTTTATACTGGGAATGATTCTTGAGAGCAAAATGCACTTACTGGTGCAATATTGTTTTTAATTTGTGGCTGTCTTGCATTAGCCTGTAATCTTTCGGGTTTTTATTTTTTCTTGCTTAGGTGAAGCATTTCAAGCCTTAGATGAAGAGACACTGGAAGCAATGGCAAAACACGAGACTGAAGAAGACAAGATCTTCCAAATGTTCAAAGAGCAAGTAGCTGCCGAACCAGAGCAGGTCAGAAGATGGGGCAGCCTTAGAACTTAGGGGTTCTGGCACAGCATCCTGCTGCACCTGCAAAATGTTTCACTGCCTTTCATACCTGCGGTTAGAAATGGTGATGGGGATGCCTCCTCATCCTCCACACACCTTAACCACCATACCTTCATCTTCCTTGCATGCAGAACTTGATTCATGCTGACGTAAGAATTTAGCACCTGCTTATCTAACTCAAACAGAAATTGGTCAGGATGAGAAGGCACAGGGGTGCTGAAGCCAAGGAGGACCTGCTGTCCTGTGAAGTGGTCCTCACCAAAGGAGGTGGTGAACCATTGCACTCTTCCCCAGCCTTTGGCCCTGTTGGCTTTCCTTCTCAGCAGAACCAAAACTGCAGTGAGGAGCTGTGTCGCTGTCACCAGCTGGGGCAGGGGGGTAGTATGGCTTTTTCTAAGGTTTAACAAAGTAGTGATGACTTTAAAATTTCAACTATTTAAAACAGAAATCTTCCCATCCACTATTTCTTGCTAACAAATGAGGCTGAAAAAAGCCACATTGTCAAACAGAAACAAGGTTTGTGGTTCCATTCAAAGGGAACACAGGCCTAAATCCGTGAAAGTGGTGGAGGAAGAAGAAATTCTCTCTACAATTTACCTGGTAGCTGAGAGGAGAGGGTGCACATCCAGAAGGTGAGAGACTTTGAGTCTGTTCCCTCCTCTGCTTGGGGTGGGTGCATCACCTCCCTCTCTGGCCATCCCCATACTGGCTCATCTGCGAAAGTGTCCTCTTGTTGATAATCCTCATTTGCTGTATATTTAAATAGTAACAGAACAACAAAGGATACAAATGCCTGAAAATGCCTCCTTCACGGACGTTAGGACAGTCCCCTTGCATTTAGGTGCAGCACTGCAAACAGAAAGAGCTGGGTTGCATTCCTGACTTTTCTGTACGCTTCTATGTGATAGTTATCGATTTGCGCTTACTCCATCTCAAGACTATAAATTACATGACCTAGCATTCCTGAGTCCCTTCATTACAGAAATACAAATCATTGCAGTTTATCCCTGGACCATTGCAAAAATGCTGTATGAATACTTGCATGATTCAAATAGTTAAGAAAACTTATATAAAGAACCTGTCTTATTTAGAATACTGCATTTGCAACTGATAGGCTTTGCCATGGGTGTTACTTAAAGGAACTGACCTTTTTCTGCACCGTCTCACTGCTTTGTCTATGTTAGTAGATAGCAATTTCATACCAAGATGAAAAGACAATCTTGAGAACTTAAACTTGTGCTCTATTTCAGATTATTAGATACTGCAGAGGAGGAGAAGGCCCAGTCTGGGTATCAGGTGAAAATATTCCTGAAGAAAAAGATATCCCGAATTGTTTATGTGGTGCCAAAAGGATTTTTGAATTCCAGGTACGTAAATTTATTTAAAGATAATATAGGTAATGTAGTTCAGACTTAACAGGTTCTAAGTGTCTAGGTGCTGGCTTGTAATTAGAGCAGGGTAGCTGAAGTTGCCACAAACTAACCATGCTAAATTGTAGAGAGCCCTTATTTACTATTGTCACTGCTTTTTCCTGTAAGACTTTCACATATAGAAGGCAGGTTCCTGTCTTGATTAATTTGCCATAAAATGGCAACTTCTGAATATGGAACCATCTCTTAAGTAACAGGAGTCTGGTATTGTTTGGTTTTGTGTTTGGTTTTTTTTTTTTTTTAAATCCTTCATGATGTGAATTGGAAATCTGGCTGGCTGGAAGTATTCAGCTGTAGAACTTTGAGTGCTAGAAGCGTATATATGGTGAATACATTTAATGTCATGCAACACCAAAACATATTTATGAAGATAATTTCAAATGGAAGGAGGCTGACAAATCAGGCAATGCTTAGTCAAATAGAAGTCCTATAGATAAAATAGGGCCATGCTTTTCATTCCATGTGCATCTACTATGCTGTTTTGGGAATTCCAGATGGGTTTTATTTGAGCTGCTGTGTTACTTAGTAGTTTTAATTGGGATTTTGGTGTAAGAGAACACAATGAAGGCAGGACCCTTCTTGGGGAAGAGATGCAGGGAGGGGGTAGAGAGCTGTGGCCTGCCTCTAAACCTCTTGTTTCTCCTTGAAGATTATGCCACAGCTCCTGAACCATCTTCAGGTTGACAGCCTTGGAGAGAGCATTGACTGGGGAACGCTGGTGGTTTACACATGTGCCAACAACTGCGGTGAGGGAAATGAATACCTGGAAGAGTTCATATGGAAACAAGACTTCTCTGCAGGCTCTGTTGAACTTCCATCAAGTTCCTAAGTTGAACCAGCTAAATGGAATACTTGCCTTGTTTCAGTGCACCTCTGCACTTGGCAAACAGGTAATTGAAGTCACCAAGATCTCTGCGTCTTGTAACAATGATAGAACTACTAAAAGTAGACCTTGGCAGCCTCTCTCTTGTGCTCCACAGGAGCTTTTACTTCAGCCTGGTAGTGGAGCCAGATGCATTTCTTCAGTGTTCTGAATGTTTAAATAAAGATTAAACATTTTTTGGATTGGTGAAAGTATCATTTGTGGGCGACTGAACTACTCAAAAATGACCGTTAACTCACAGAGAAGAGCAGACTACAGTAAGATCATTCAAGCGCTCAGGCTCAGAAGGTGTGCAGAAGTCACAGCTGTGACAAAGCTGTGTAGCTTTTCACTGTGGAACTTCACTTCTCTTGCTCAAAAGGTACACTGAATCTAACTTGGTTCTGACTGAGTGGTTATTCACGATAAAATGCACAAAAATGAAGTGTTTTATCTCGCTTGAAACTATTAACTGAGTTAAACTATTTCTGCATGGGACTCTCCAGTGCAGAAGCAGTTTAAACAAAGCCAGCCACACCAGAACATGTTTATGTTGTTACTTACTGCCTGTAGCAGCACGTTTTCAGCCTGAATTGTACCTTAAGTCTGCCTTCTTTGGTGAAGCACAAAAATAAGTAAGTAAATGCCGTCTGCAGGGATTTTTCTGATATTTGACTGTCATATAGCCAAGGCAAGAGAAAAATGAAACCATAATGCTGAATTTACTGTGGTAGTTGATTAACTGCTCGTGTGGATATGGCTACACTTGCAGGAAAGATAAGGCTTTTCTTGTGTGTGTGTCTCAGTATACCTTTTACTTCAATTAGGTATTCCTTTATCCTGCTCAAACCACTTATGTCTGCTTGGCAGTGATTCTGAAGGTGATTTGATGAAAGCCCTAGACCCACTGTTGGGTTGTTTTATATTAATTTAGATGTTGGAAATACTCAAATGAGCAGGCAGGGGATGCTTTAAGGATAAGCTGCTTGGTCATCATAGAACTTAATTTCTAAAAAGGTAGTTTTAAGCCTTGGTACATGTCATGGAACAGCAAACAGTATCTTAAGTCACTATTGTACAGCTTTACTGATTTTGTGGAAAACCATTTCTAAAGGCTCCACATTTTCCTGCAGAGGTAAAGAGTTTTGCAGGTGAGCTAGTAGTAGTTCAGAGTCCTGCAAAAGCACAAGCATACAGTTCTGTTCAAGAGCACTCGGGAATGTTCGCTAGCTGACAGCACACAGTGGATTCAGTGGCACTGCAGGTGATGCACTGTTCGGGCATCTGGAACTTAACCTGGCAAAGCTACATTATTAAACAGAAGCTTTCTGATAAGATCAATGGAAACAATTATTAAAGTGGATGGAGAAACACCAGCGTACACCACTACAGGGGTTGTAGAGAAGACTTAAGGATTAAGGTAACTCAGGATTTGCAAACAGAGCAGTAGCAAAGCCAGTCAAAACTTCATTTTGTCCAGCATGAACCACCAACTTCATAAATAAAGACGACCACAGTCACATTTGGGTTAGTTTTAGATAAAAGCTGTTTGAAAGAATGTGCAAGTCATAGAAAGGAGGTTACTATTACTGGAAACTTACTGGAGGAAAAAAAAGTTTATTTTTAGTTCTCAGCCTGTTAAGCTTCAAGCACAGTTCAGAGGGAAGAGTATGTACATACTGACTCAAGTTGGAAGGGCTTTGACATTTTACAGGAACACTAATATAGTGAGACTGTCATAGTTGGTAAAATACAAAAGTAGTAATTGAAAGAAATTCTAGAAGCTAAGCGGGGATCTTTTGTTCCAATTCAGTTAAGTGTAGCTATTTAAGACTTGCATAAATCCCATCTGCTGAACATGAGGCAACACATGCTACTTTAACCAGTCATCTCTGTTGCTTTAACATACTAGAAGTACTCAAGGTAGACGTTGCCAAGGATATCAGTACTCAACCAGACATTGCTGGTAAGCAAGCCACAGCATTGTTGAGATTCTCTCAAAAAGACAAGTCACTGACAGTAGTGCATGTGCTACTGAAAAAATCCAGACTAAATTAAAAAACAGTTTTCAACGTATTTCACTCTACCAGCAGGGTAAATTTAAAATTCATTAAGACAATTCCCATAACTGTATAAACAGGGTTTATTGTACATGTGGAGCTGAAGGAGGAAAGAGAAAGAAGGTATATATTATATATATATGTACAGTGAGCCATTTTCATTAATAAATTTATTCTGTCTTGCTTAACACTGGAAAGAGGGAATGTGTCTGGCACCAAAGAAATTTCAAATTGAAAAAATTTAAAAGCTTAAGTTCTGAAAATTATAAAAACCATGGTCTTATGGAAGGAAGTTAAAACTTATATACATGGCAATTTAAGTGGTTTATACACTTGAGTGACACAGTTGCATTTGTCTTTTAAACCAACTTACAGATTTTCTATTAATAGAACTGGCATTAAAACTATTTAAAAGCTAGAATATAAATAAAACTTGGAGGGACTGCTCCAGGAACAGCCCAGTAAAGCAACTCACAGTAACTCAGTAGACATAATCAGTAATATAGTTCCCCTTGAGTATCAGGGAAGTAGGCACTAACTGGGAAATAGTCCAAGTCCTGGTGTTGCAGTTTCACTGGAAGTCCATCTCTTGTTACTGCTGTGCCATATGCAATACCATTTCAAATATACCCCCGATTTCTCTGAAAGGTGTAGAAACCGTTACGTTGTCTTTCTGAATCCCTTTAAAATAGGATAGATGTTTTCAAATGCTTCATAGATTTCTGCTCGTACTTTAGCACCTGGAAAAAAAAGAGGGAATTAAGTTAGTTTGTACTTTTCATCAAATACTTCATTTTAGCTTTTAGAATGTTTATTTGAATGTGACTCTACATAAAACCTATGCATAGCCATATATACCTATTTTTATGATCTCTTTTTTTTTTTTTAACATACATTTCACATAGAGCATCCATTATCAGCCTTCTCACTGTTTAGTCTGATAACTGGTAAAACTTTCATTAGCATCTTCATGCTTATGCTACACTTGCAAATGGGATTTTTCTATACTTAGTTTCCGCTGGAGACCCAACTACAAAGCACAACCCTATGGGATGTTTCTGCAGAAAGGCCTCACTGGTGGAGCTTTCTTGGAGAGTGTGAACACCTGGGGAGCACAGCCTGAGAACACAGAGCCACACTGCAGGGGCACACTCCTTTTGCCTGCGAGTCTTGTGGGGTTTCTTTTCTCCACAGTGAGACTCGCCACAAGGGGAAAAGGAAGGGGATAGGTGGAGTGTCTGAGGTTGAGCAGGTCCGAGAGCTCGGGTATCTCCCCTTCTTTGGCTGCTGCATCAAAGGAAGACGGCAGCAGCCCCCAGCCAAGCTGCCAAAGAACAGTTAGCTCAGGCACACAGGCCCAGCACACAGAAACACTTTCAGATTTTGCCAGAAACATTACCTGTGCTCTTACAGCTTTTTGGGCACCTGCATGCTTGATTAGGATTCATGACCACTGCTTACATGGATTTAGTAAATGTATGGTTTGCTTTGTGCGTTCGCATCCACAGAAGACTATCCTATCCGTCCTTTCTCAGTAGTGTCATCTCTAAAGGAAAGTAACTAGCAGCTTACACAATTTTGGTATCATTGTGTGTTCTCTCTAACACAGTCTAAATCTAACCTGTGGGAATTAGAGACTGTCTTCACTTACCAGTTAAAACCACTTTTCCCGAAACAAAAATAAGCAGAACAATTCTTGGCTTGATCATTCTGTAGATTAAGCCAGGAAACAATTCTGGCTCGTAGCTGTAAGAGAAGAGAGTGACAGTGTTTAAACATGCTTCCAGTCTTTCATCTGGCAGGACTGCAGCAATGGGCAGAGCAGATGTAGATGGTACTGAAATTTGGAGACAGTAGCAGGGAAGATCATTGCAATAGCTCATATTGGGCGACTTCAGTTACACCCGAGGCAGAGCAGCAATGGCAACAAAGATGCAGGTTTCCCTCTGGTGCAAGGGACTAATCTAAACAGATGTCTCAAAGCTAGTCAAGAATGAAACATAAGCAAACCTTTTTTTCTGAACTGCTGGTGTGTGAGTACCAGTCCTTCTAATCTGATGGGAAATTTCACATCACAGCTGCCCACCATGTTCTGAATTTTAAAATCCAAAAATTTTGCAGGAAAACCCAGTTTCTGAACAACTCTTGCATACTTCCTTGCTGCCAGTCTGGATTGCTCCTCACTGGAGTGAGAAAGAGATACCCGTATTATTTCCTCAGTTAAGTATTACTTGAAGCAAAGAGCATTAAACCACAAATATTTAACTGGGAAAAAATATATATCTGTGTTGGGGGGGGGGGAGGTCACATGCAAAATTTTTACATCCAAAATGAACAACTAGCACTGGTTTTCATGCTAATTTTGGTACTAGGATCCTGAACACCATTACTGTTGTACTCGCTGTTCATGAGGCAGAAAACAGTAGATGATAACTCCACGTTTCATACTCTTGAAATATCGACCCGAGTCCCTCTAATGTGACAGGAAAACTGTTTAAGTTTTCAGTGTAGAACAACTTTGAACTACTACTGCTAGAAAATGCTTATTTCTGTAAGAATCTGTAAACTGCCAAAATCCTCTGCTTGATTCAGCCCAAGCATTCAAACCTGGGTTTAACACAACTGCACGGCCTTACATGCTGTTGCAGATTCAGTTTGCTTCAGTTTTGTAAGTGGCTGAGGATCTGGTTGCTCCTATGGCAGAGTAAGACAACTTGAATTTCAAGCATCAGCAGGCAGAGAAAGTGTCTCCAGTACAGCTCTAGTCATTCATCTCGGCTCATTAGCTTATTCCTTCTGGATTCCTAAGACTTCCTCAGAGGAGAATTTGTCTCCTGCCCACTGGAGTTAAGCTTATGTTTAGTTTTCAATTCTTATGCTTCAATGTTAAGAACAGATCAGACTACAGGGACCAGAGACTTGGAGCTCTTGTCCTGTGATGAATGAAACTATCCAAATATAAAATCACTATTCCTCTGTCACCCGCCCTACCGTTTAAGCAGTTCCAGTGCACAGTCATTGAATTTTTTAAATTATTAGGGGGAAAAAAAAGGTAACTGCAAAGCCAAAAAGTGAATACAATAACCTCTGCAAACCAGTTCATCAGCCTGTATGAAAGAGCTGCAGAAACAGAACTATCATTTCCCCTGTCATAGGGAAGTCCTTTCTACACAATATGTCAAAAGACATATTGTGTAGAAACATCTATTAGGCTATTCGAAATAACTGGGAAGTACCTGTACATCTTTGTTGTATATATACAAATACTGTATACAAATAATAGTACTTCTAAAGCATCACAGTACAAGAGAAAAAGACAGCCTGAATTAGTTTGCTTGTAATGCCTAAACATACCTTTTCGCTCCTGTGCACACCATTTTGCCAGAGCTGAATATAAGTGCAGTAGTACGTGGTTCTCTTATTCTCATAATAACAGCAGCAAAACGCTGAAATGTGAGCGTTGAGACTATTACTGATGTATTGCTGTAATCAGTACATTAAAACCAAATTTGCATAATCTAAGTAGCAAGTTACACTGTATTGCTAAGAAATACTAAGTTCAAACATACTTATGGATCACTAAAAATTTACTTGAAATGCTTAAATCATAAGTAGTATCAAACACACACTAAGAGGTAAAGTCAGACAGGAAGGATATTTATCATTGCATTCCTGTTTTACTAAGCTGATCTCTCACTACTGTATATGCAACATGTAAGTAATGCTAACATTTGCAACAGAGACAATCTTAAAAAGAAATTTAAAAAAAATCCTCCACATCTTGAAATTTGATCTGTTATAAGCATGATGGAAGACTATCTGCAAATATTCTATGACCTGTTTTCTTTCTGTGTCTTAAAAAATTGGACGGTGTTAGAATACCAGCAAACAGAACAGCTGGAGATCAAAGTTCAGTGTGAAGAGAAGTCACCTCCACTACCGCAGCAGAACACAGCAGCCCGGTTAGCTCTAACTTTTTATTCTAAGTACTGTAACATCTCTGCCTGCATTTACAAATATTCTTAAACTCTTTGAAGCAAGAG